AATATAGGTTGTGATCTAATTTATGAGGTGGTCTTACTTGGTTTATTCTTGTGAACTTGGAGTTCCCATTACCAATGTAAAGATAAAAGGATACCATGGTTAGGTAGCTTCACATTTCAGTTCACCATAACCAAGAAAACGTTATATATTTATGGCACATGAAACCTTATTGAGGCTTTAGTTGATTTTTATATTAACCAGTTTATCACACTCTTTAAATAGAGATTGTGTTAAATAAGGTGTTAAATTTCTTCGTGAATTATCGTACAAAAAGCATGGGCAAATAGCATTGTTTTGACGATTATTTGTGTTTTTACACCCTTAAATTAAAAATGGTGTGGTTTTTGTGTTGTTTTTTTAAGCCAAGAAAATGGACTATAATCATGTACTTTTCGAAACATGTTGGGTGATTTTGAGCATCGAGGCCATGGGGGAAAACTGCCCACCAGACATGTAGAGCTTGCGACTCTTGACTCTCATCTGATATGTCAGTATTGTTTCCTTATACTCTTTGTTTACTGCTGGTTCATTTTCCATTATCGTCACAAGTATTGTGCAGCTTTCCGCTGAAATTTAATATATATTATAAAGAACTGAGATGTTGGCGCTTGTTTTGACGAAGACTTCCCAGTAGGCATAAAGGCTTATATGTATACTAGAATGTAAATGTCTTGCTGAACTCGCGCATGTTACGTCATAATAATAATAATAATAATAGTAATGATAATAATACTTTATTCAAATTCAAGTTCAAAAAAAGAAAAAAAACAAAAAAGGAAAAAAAATTGGAAAAGGAAGACCATGAGGTTAGCGCTAGATAGTATATAATGATAATAATAATAAGATCTACAGTAATATAGCTGCCATGTTGGTTGACGATAACAAAGCCTTCCTCATTAGCTTCTCTTGCTAGATCAACCAACATGGTCACATGGTTGCACGCACTGTATTACTGCATGGCATATTAGTTACCAGTCGTTACACCCAGTCTTTGCTTTATCTTAATGATGGTATGCTTCGTTTGTTTGGGTTTGTTTTTGAAACAGAAGAAAAACTGAATAAAGACAGAATGTAAGTTAGAAGTGTTAAGAAAGAATTTGGCAAATAAACAATGAGATACAGAAAAATTGTTACTCACCACTTTG